ACTCCGTTCATCATGTTGATGTTAGAGAGGGTCAATTAGACTGTGTTCTTCAAATACTTCATGGTTGTGGTGAAACCTTATCCTACGGGTGGCCTTTAGTTCTTGGGATAATTGGAGCAGTGTCAGAACATCATGGGTATTCTTATATATATTTTTTTTATTGATACATGACTCAACCATGTTGATTTGTATTAATCTTTTAGAGAAAATTTAATACGTGTTGCTTTTCAATTCTTCAATTGGTAGTTACTGATTTTCTTCCAATTATGCCCTGCCATTGCCGACATTGTGTGTTGACACTGCAGCAAAATTTGGTTCACAAACTCAAGAACTGAACATTTCTTTAACTGCTATTGGATTAATGGTAAATGCTGGGAAATTTGATATATTTTGTGACTGTTTGTATATTAATTAATTATATATTATTTAGTGGAACATATCTGATTATTTTTACCAAAATCAAGAAAAATTATGTGCGGCATTAAATTCTGAATCATCTGTATTACCTGAGTTTCCTGGAACTCTTAACATGCCACCTTTTGATAAGCTCTGGATGTGCTTATACATGGCTAGGTAAAGTTTTTTCATATATCTATATATATTTATTAGACTTTGTTATTTTTTTTTTTGTAGGTGAACTTTGTGTTGATTCTAGACCTGCTGTACGGAAACTGCAGGACAGACATTATTTTCAACTATTTTCTGCCCATGGTATCTTATTGAATCAAATACTTGGCAAAGTGTATTATGGTTGGTGCTTTTTCCACTATTGGATAAGGTAGAAGGAAATCTTTTGTTATTGGTGGGAGTAATAATAATAGTACTAATTAATTTGTTATATAGGTTCGTTCCTTGTCTATGAAAGCGAGCAATGAAAAGTTGACACAAGTGGAAATATTTTGATACATCATACAAGAAACACTGCACAGAAACAATGGGCTGAAACGCAAGTTCTAACATTGTCTGGTGTTGCAAGAGTATTTAATACAAAGAGGCAATTACTTCTTCAACTTGGAGATTTTCCAAAAGCGTGGTCGTTGTTATTAGAATTCATAGAATATTCAGCATTAAGTAAAAATAATGAAGTTCACTAGCTGCATTAAATCATTCCAAAAATTTTATATTCAAATAAAGTGATAAAAGTATTGATGGGCACTCTGGCGTATCTATAATAACGCTGATACACAATTGTGGAACGTAGCTTGGAGAATTTGGATTAACATTGGTGTAGAAAGTACTATGCTTGGTGAAAGTTTGAGCAAAGAGGATTGTTATGTTCCTAGTCAAAGTCTACTTACAGCTCTTGTACAGATATTTCCTGCAGTATTTCAGCATATAAGAAATAACTTCACTCCCGAAGATTTGAATAAATTGTGTCAAGTTCTGAAAAATGCAATGATTGTACCAATCAGTAATGATAATGCTACTTATATGGTGCCTCCTTTATCTGATATGACTATTACACCTCTCCAAGATGGGGTACTGCATTGTATGCAGCTATTACAAAATGAAGCTCTATCTTGTCCGGTGAAATTAAATCTTATGATAGCACCTATTTTTAAACAACTCCTTAATTTTTCAATATTAGCTTGTGCACCGCCAACTACAGAAAATGGTGATACTAAAAATGTAGCAGGATCTAGAAATATTTCTAATGAATGGGTCACAACAGTTTTTGTTCCCTTTGGAGAGAAATCTATGAGCCATGCTGTGAAATTATACCAACAAACAGCAAGTGAGGTTCCAGTCATACGAAATAATATTCTTTATGAAATTATCAAGGTAAACCTATTTTTGGCCATGATTTCTCAAGAACAATTGAAGAATAAAATTATTAAAACTTTAAACATAGCTGCATCACTAATATTTTTTTTAGTGTTTCTGATAATACATAATTAGTTACATTCTTTTATGTTTATTTTAGGCCATCCATCTGCCTTTATCTTTGAAATACAACTGTGTTTCTCAAACTACATGGAAATTAGCCATCGCTAGTTTACTGACTGTTCTTAAGACTGGTCTACCAGTAGCAAGATCAAATGCTGAACATTTTACAGAAATGTGGTCGGAGTTATATGAAACTCTTGATCATTTTCTATTTCCAAAGAGGTACTTGTACAAAGATTTTTTGTACTTGTTTATTCATAATTTTTATTAAATATAATCTTTTTTAGTGTCATGGGTGCAGATCATGGCTTAGATGATTTAGTAACAGATGAAACAATTGACTGTCAAGTGATAGAATTATTACGTGCCGAGGTTTTACCGTATTCGCATTGTATGCCTAAGCAATTTATTCTCAAAGTGGTTGTGCTACTTAATAAAGGCTCAATTCATTCAGCAACCGGTTCAAACATGGGTATTAGAGACACATTTCAGCAATAGAATATATTTATTATAATAATATTAATTTTAAATAATTTATAATAATTCTATTTAGATTCAGAGTCTGAGCTGAAGTTACGTGAAGAATTTGCTAAACTTGCTTTGAGACTTTACTTCAATTTTCATTACTGGATAGTGATGATATTGATAATGATTTTATAATTCAAATGAGCAAAATAATGAAACACGAAAAGAAGGTGGTGTAGCAGGCCGGTTAGCTGTTACAGCATTACTTTACAGGTTCCAGGAAGTATTGAAAAAATATAATGAAGATGAAAGACAAAGTGGAAAATGTCCTTTACCGAGGTATTTCTATTTTCATATACCACATTTTCTACTCGTTTAACTATTATAAATACAATTAATTTTTTAAATTAGATACAGAATGTCTGAAATATCTTTGTATTGAAAGCTGTAGCAACACTTATAATTTCAATGAAAAAAGCCCCAGCTGGAAAAGGTGACTAAGTCTAAATATTTTTTTTTTAGTATTAAATTATTATTAATCTAATCTATTTTTTTAAGTCGATGTATCAGCGTGGAATCAATTAATAGGCTTGTATCCCTACTTAGTGGAATGTACTGTAACAGCTTCTTCTCAGGTCTCTAGAAGCCTTCGTGAGTGCCTCATGCAGTATAGCGATTTACTTCAACCTCCCGTGTAACGAATTAAGAATATTTCTATTTGCTATTGAGAATTGATAGATAATAATTGCATTTATACAGGCTACATAAATATTAAAGAAAGTGTGTTGTGTATGTGTGTTTGAGATAGTCGGATATGTGATAATTGATATTTTCAAACCAATAACTATTGTACAAAAATGCAAAATAACTTTTGCAAAATTATATTATGAATTCCTTATTTATATTCTGTATTATTATGTATTATTAAATAACAGGAAATGTTGAGACTGTTTCAAGTACGAGTTTGATGTTTGTCTTAAACATATCAGTAAAATTTTACTTTTCAGATTATTCAGGTATGAAAATTAGATATTCATAGATTAATGGGTTTTTAACCCTTATCAGTCAAAACTGATTCAACAACAATGTACCAGCAACTTGCAACCGCATTCTATTTGTAACGTACATGCTGAAAACTCGATCTTAATGTGTATGTTATGCAATTTGTTTTATATGAATTTGTGAACATTAAGGACATACGAATAGCTTGGTCGCTTTATTGAAAAAAAGAGTACTAATATTATTTTTCGCAACTTTATGTAATTAAAAATTAACATACATTTATCGACTGCTTGTATTTTTTAGTTTTTCGCTGGCGATATAATTTCATCGTTTGAACAGCTTTAATATCTGTCTTGCCTAAAAAATATTTTTCATTTTCAAAGATTTGTTGAAACTGCGAATAATATAGAAATGCAAATAGAAATAATTTCTAATCAATAAACTTACGTTTAGTACACGGCACAAATGTTTAACTTGTTTTAATTAATTTCAAGAAACAGGGTAAAATATTCTTCTGATTCAGGCACTTTTCTTTAAATCAAGATTTGTACTACGATGCAACTTTAAAATGTTTATTTATCTATGCCTATTTTCATGTTGATATCGGTACGCATACAACGACAGACCTCTATTCACATACACGACGACTTATCACAATCGACCCGTATTGAAATGATTTCATTAAGAGCGAATAACGTACAGTTCGGGCGTAACACAATTTTCGTTGCATTTGTACAGATTTACGCCCTAGTCGCGCATAAAGAAGTTTTACTTCAAAAATATATAACTAATTTATTCATGAAATAAAGGTGATGAATTAAATGAAACTCTACTTTCGAAATGCTTGGAGGGCCGCATGTAGCTTGCGGGCCGCGGGTTGCTCATCCTTGATCTATACATATTCCATGCTTTAATACGAACTGAGCCATCGTGTATAAAAACTGCCGAGTGTCTCAAAGGAGACAGCCGAGCGATAAGCTAGATTTTCGTTGTCCCTCATGGGGACAACTGAGTAAAAAGGGTTAAAAGAGGAATCTGCTGTGCAAAAATAATTTTATTTATATATTGATGATTCACACATAATTTAATTTTTGTTTTTGTATTGTTACATCTTATTAGAAGCTGAAACGACCATTTTCAGAAAATAGTGATATAATAATTCTAAACTTCAACTTTGGTAAGTGTTTTTTTTTTATAATATTTTCTTTATATAAAGAATTTTATTGTTGTCGAAACTTTATTTCTTCAATTTCACATTTTTTTTATATACACATTTATATGCATATACATCAAGAATAAATAACATGATAAATTTCTATGTGGCAATGATATACAATATTTAAAATTAAGTGCTTCACACTTAAATGATAAATAATTCATATTAAAACTAACAAAACTATTAAAATACTTTGATAAGAATAACATACTGATTTCTGATAGTAAGTTGTTCTCGATGCATAATAATTAATTAACACACAAAAGAAAGAGAAATGGAACGCATCTCTGCAATCTATTAAAATATCATTGAACAACCGACAATTTGATAATTTTTAAATAAGAGATCTCTTAACAATTATAAATTGGAATATTTCATAATAGAAATTGTATTCTATGAATGCATATAGGTACATAATTGATCTACTTATATTCTAACATCTATGCAACCTGCTTTTTAAGTAAAGTAAGACTAGGAATAATCTATACATTCTTGCATATATGATCACAAATGCCATGGGAATTTTATTACAATAATATTAACAATAGCGCTTCAGAATTATAATTCTGAGTGTTTTTCTGGTATTTCAGCGGGTGGGGTGACAGGCTGCAGTGCTTGATGCAATTCCCCTAAGCTCTGCTCTGTCTTTCGAAGCAATTGGATCGCTGAATGAAGTACCCTTTGCCATTTTCTCATTTCTGCAGAATGCAAGGATTCCTGACGCTGTAATACTCTTAACCATTCATCATGAGATTGCGGTGGATTTCTCATAACATGCACCTCTGTAGGTCCTTGTGAAGATTTCTCCTCAAGAGCCCATAATTTATAAAATAATGCAGCATTTAAAAATACTAAAATGACGAGAATGACCAGCACTCCCCAAGCTAAAGAATCTGTGGATCTCCTCACTGGATGATTAACAGTCTGACTGGATGTTCTGCTTGTGTATGGCAAAATATGAGAACTACGAGATCTGAATCCGTCATCAGTAGGACGAGGCACTGGTGCCGTTACGCGTCTTCTCCTTCGCGATTTTCTTTGTCTATTTGGAGAAAGTTCACATTCTTCCGCTAAGGCTTTGATGAGGGCATCAAAAAAGTCTTCTAAACCTGCCCAAGCGTTTTTTTCAATAAAACCTTTTGCGACACTCCAAACAGATTTTTTGTATTTAATTTGTGCGTGCACTGAAATACTAGATTGCTGATCACCAGTACGAATAAGACAGTAATGCATTGTAACATAAAAACTTGCTGCATAAGGAATGCCTACATTCACAGAGTCAATATCTATGGAATACAACTGGCCAGGTTTACTGCAAGGCAACATCACCTGAGTCTCAGTTACCTGCGACGTTTTCGGTCCCACAGGCTGCGTTAAAGCTACAGTTAAGGAGACTGTACGACTTTTTACCCCGTGCGTATTTTGTGCCCAGGAACCCTGAACTAAATCTTGCGTGTTTCTGGCAGCATGAAAATCTATTAAAAATTGTGAACCAGTAAAAAGCAACGTAAACAAAGTGTCAACATGTATTGGAAATTCTGCTTGAACAAGTTGTCTGCCTACATGTGGAGCTGGGCATATGATTGATTTTGGCAAAAAAGGCGCAGACTTCTCTACATCAGAATCAGTGGTGTCGGATAAATCAGTTGGAAGTTGTTCAGCTGGAGTCGAGGCTCTCAATGGCGTTTCTGGATTACCAGGTGGTAATGTTATGCATGTTGATAAATCAATGTTACTGTCAGCTTCTTCTGCATGTTCAATTTCTATGTTTTGCTCAGCAACACTCAAACCTTCTTCAGAAAAAGATTCTACAGACAAACGAGCACTAGATAACTTTTCTTCATCATTCGGGGCTGCATATTCATCATCGCTTGTGAGGCCCAATTCATCACCGTAGCAATTATGAACCCATTTCCACATTACTTGCATTGGTACAGGTTGATCCATGAGCGCATGCTGCCATACTCTGAATAGCATTAAATGTGCCTTATCTCTAGCAGTAAAACTAGTAAAAAAGTGTTTTTCTGCTTCAGTGCAAACTAAAATGGCATTAGGTATTACCAATGCAGTTTTTTCTTTGGTTATAGCAGTCACTTCTCTCCATTTCAATGATACAGATGTCTCCCAACCAAAAATGTTTGCATAAAAACATAAGAAGTTCTGAGAAACATAAAGCCTACCTTGCAGTAATATATCTTTTTGCATTGCGCAAGAATATTCAACAATAAGTCTTTCATCATCTGGAACGTCCTTAAAAATTCTTTTGAAGTCTTCTGATCGCGTTTTGTAATTAGGATAAAGAACATTATACCAGGATGATTTTTTCTTTGTGCGATCATTAACTCTGGAATCACGCTTAGTTATCCTACTGCTGTCTTTATCTCCTCTTTCACTTTCATGAGAAACAGAGCGACTTAGATCTATGACTTGGCTAGAGTCACTAGATCGACTAATGTTATCCTGTTCAGCTCCATCAGTCTTCTCTACATTGTTGTTATAAAACTCATTTGACGGTACAAACAAATGTGTATCACTGCGTGAATGTTCTCTACGGTTCCTTGCTTTGGGGCTGTTGCTGGGACTTAAATTTGGGCTGGGTGATCTGCGGTGTTCTGCAAGCGGTGATGTCTGTGGGGGTGCGGAGGCAGCCATGGCGCCCGAGAAAGCCAAGGCTTGGTTAAAACTCTGCCCTATTACATCATGAGATGATATTAAGAGATTTTCTACAGATTTACGCATGGGTAGAAGTGCAGTAACCTTTTCATCAATATCATATTAATATATATCTAAACATATCTTATTGGCAATTAGCACTTCATAAGTAACAGATGATTCCAGTATACCAATTAGTCATATAAAAATCTTTGAGTTACCCAATAATTCCATATTAAATTATCACAAATCAGTTAATATCACAAAAAGTAAGAATATAAAAATCATTCGGACGATTCACTCGTTGTTTTGAATTTGAAGGTAATTTAAAAGACACGTTTAGTAATTTTGCATTTCAATACTAGATTTAAATCTGTACATCGCGTTTGTCTATTGTTTTACCATCACAAATAATTTGGTAATGAGCGACAAAGATTATAATTATTAGTACAAAGCGCTACGACAACAAGTGATGTCAAAAATTGAACAATGGAAGGAATTGACAATGCAATTTGTGCAGCACACAACTGTCAAAAACATGACAGATTGATGGAGGGAATTTCAAATGTGGTGGAGGCGAAGAAAAATAGAAATAAATGGCAGGAATAAGATCAAAGGTAAGTGAGAATTTGCCTTTTGTTTTAATAATTTTAAATGTAGTATGTACAATATATATATTCAATAGTAAATAGTCCTACCTGCAACTATGAATTTAAATTGCAATAATAAGTCTTATTGTATTTTATTAACAATTTCATACCCACTTTTATTATTCACATCCAATAAAAACTTAAATTTCTAATCCATCATATAAATCTTGAATGTCCATGTTGTAAATTGTTAATGTTACAAGCGCGCCAACTTCAAGTACATTTTTAGCTGAAAATATATCATAGACTAAATTGTATTTAAAACTAACATATATTGTTTGATACTTTTAATAATTAACGAATATTCAAATATAATTTTCACTAATAAACAATTACATATTTGAATCTTCCTAACAATTATTTAAAAATCAAACGAACGAAAAAAGGTCATTCACTTCACATCAGGCAACCCATTGCATAGTTGGCGGTAAAAAATTTGTTACTTTAATGTTTTGTTTGTCAAATAACTATTGATTGTCATTCCTAAAACTAGACTCGAAATAATTGTAATATTAATTTTTTTTACCCGGGAAAAAATATTGGTATTTAGTGAGAGAGCGCAAAGAATCATTTTCAGTTGACTTCAGGAGATTCGCGAGTTATACATATAGATTACTTTCTTTGTGTGCGTATTAAAATGACAGCTGGTGGTATGTACAGAAATATTCATTTGTAACTAGTATTTATTTATGCATGGATGTGATAAATATTTTATATACATATTTATTAACAGTATTTTTTGTAAGTAAAATATTATAAAAACTATAATTTACGGCTACATGTGCAATGTCATAGATTGCAGATGTAACGCAATGTAGTGACCTTTTACAAAAGTACTTTATTCATATTCCTAATAAGTTATGAGTTTATGAAAATGTAAGTCTAAATTTAATGTTTCTTTTTTATTTTACGGGGCATCCCTTAATCACGTGATCGACTTTTTAAACATTTTTGAACTCCCCTCCCCCTTGGCGTTATTCAAAATTACCCCTTCTTTCCTCACCAAATCTCACGTGTATTTTTAGTTACGGGAAAAATGGTAATTTTTTTTTTTTTTTTGAAAATGTTCGGATTTTAAAAAAAATCAGATAAAAAGTAAATACACGTGATATCTTACTAGACCCCCTCCCCAACGTGATTTTTCGTAAATTTATGTCAAATCCCCCCTCGCCCTAAAAGCCTCAAGTGATTAATGGACGCCCCCTTAGTTAGCACTAAATTTATTTTTTTACCTGAATTTTCAAAAAAAATATACGATTTTTTCGTAAATTCCAAAAATTTGCTCAAAAAATTTTACGTAACTGAAAATACACATGATGTTTACTGGGGGAGGGGGGTATATTTAAATATCACGACATATCACCAAGGGTGAGAGGGGTCCAAAACTCCCTAAAAGATCTATCACTGATTAATGGACGCCCCCCAAGTGCATTGTATACATATATTGATGATTCGATTCCAAAGTCTAATATCTATTTTATAGAACGCTGCCTTTTTAAACGTCACTTTAAAAGAATTAATTTTGTATATTATATATAAACAGTCTTATAATTAACAACATTAATAAAAATCATAAATTTCTTTAAAAAAATGATTATAGATCTATAAGTACTTACAATTTGCTTATCCCATTGTTTTTACTTTTTACATTTTTGTATTTTTTCAACTCAATTGTTATACATTTTAGTTTATTGTTATTTAAATTCCACCAAATGAAGGATACTACTATAAATTTACGAAGGGGGGGGGGGCGTCCATCACGTAATCGATTTTTTAAGGATTTTTGGACCCCCACCCCCTTGGTGATATTAAATCATGGGTTCCTCCTTCCCCACCAAACATCATGTGTATTTTTAGTTACGAGAAAAAATGGTAAATTTTTTTATTTTTTTAAAATGTTAGAATATTTTTTAAAAAAATCTTGTAAAAAATAAGAATTCGTTATATCTTACTATACCCCTCCTTCTCTCACGTGATATTTTAATTTTTTGTGGAACCCCTCCTACTCCTAAAATCCTCACGTAATTATTGGGCGCCCCCCTAACGTATAGATTTAAAATAAAATTTTAATGAAATTCATGATCATTATTGATGTTATACCCAATTATTAAACTCTGTTAATACGTATATATTTCAACATCTAATTCAGAACTAATATATTATATAATTAATTACAGTGAGGTGTATTATGCGGGATAGGAACAATGTTTCAAAGTGCATGGAGCGGCATCGAGTGGCGTATTATGCGGAAAAGTCGTATCCAGCTGTAATATGTATGCAAGAGTAAAAGGTATGCTAGATATAAGTAAAAGTAAATAAAACGATAATAAGTGGTGCATGGCATCGTGTCTTAAAGCAAATTGCTGGAACTTGCCGTACCAAAAAAATTTTTTTTTTAACCCTTTCGACCTGCTAATTCCGAGATTTTTATGAATTTTGCGCCATCCGAGTGGAAAGGATTAAAAAAAATTAATTTGTTTTTAACTTTGGAAAAATTAGATTTAGTATCTTCGGAACGGCTAGACCTGCCTTTGTCAAAAACTAATCAGTACGTCTCCTTAACAATACGAATCAAATGCTTTTTGAATTATTCAAATCGCTTCATCCGTGTTCCTGAAATCGTCGACGAAAATTGTATTCGAACACACACACACATACACGCACACGCACACACATACATCCATTTTTTCTAAGGTATGCTAAAATGTTCAGGAGGTTTTGAAACGTAAAGATATATAAAAATTTTCATTTTCGATTTTTTTGCGATTACTATAACTTGCTATAGCTATAACTACGGGAAGTTAAAAAAAACGCGTTGCGAAATTACTACCAGCCGTCGGTCTAACAAGTTTTCCTTGTATGAGTTCGATCGACGATTATATACGTAACGTGACTCACACTAGTCAGCAGAGGACTGCAAGTAGTGAGCTCGTCGTGCTGCCGCCTGTCTTGTGGTTCTGTGCTACATGCTGTGTGTTATTAAATTTATCACGTATCAGTTGACATTTGTGTGATAAATTATTATATAATTAATTTTAAATTGTTAAATTATTTATTTATAAATATTTGTTAATATTTGTGGTGCCTTAGTGTGTTACAATAATGCCTGTTTTCCATACAAAAACAATCGAGAGCATATTAGAACCTGTAGCGCAGCAGGTAAATTAATTTTAAGATTTGATTTTTAACGAGTTAATTTGCAAGATGTTCGTAATTGAGGTGGTTGGGAAATTTTGAAAATTCATTAACAGTCGTCGTGTTACATTTTATTTCACCTTTTGCGTAGGAGTTAGCAGTGAGAGAAGGTATCATAGCCTTATATGGAGAGGCAGCGTGTAGATACAACAGAAAGATTATGATGCCATGTGATAATGTTTACTATAGAAAGAATTACCTGAGTTCAATTAACGTTTGTTTTAAGTTTTACTGGCGCTTATATTGGAAATGTTTAAAAATATTTCAATAACGGATTAGTGAATACAATTTATTACATCTTTTAATCAGTTTTCATAAAAACATATATTTCAAATCATTTGACATTGCGGGGCTAAAGTTTAACAATTCGGATTATTTTTATTTTAAATACTGGATGATTCTTAAAATATATATTTTGATTTTGTAAATTAATAGAATCGAATTTTATTATGATGATAGAATCGAAGATATTAAACCTTTGAATCAAACTTTTCCGAAACTAAATATTTTAAAGTACAATTAATTAATTGTACTTACTTAAGTAATCATTTGTCATTTTGGGTTGAAGTTTGGCAATTGTTTTTTTATAAATTCTAGAATGATTCTTGAAATGTAACATTATACATTTTGATTTTATTAATCTTATGTTAATAAAATCAAGGCTATCATTAATCCTTTCAATCAAAATTCTTTCGAATATAAATGTCTTGAAGTACAATTAAGTTATCATTTGACATTTTTCTTCGGCAACCCCTTTCACCAAGCCAATTGTTTTTATTCATATTTTTATTTCTTACTTCATTTTATTATTTTTCTTTAGTTTATTGATTTTTGTTACTATGTATATTGTATACTTTATTTGATTGTTTTTTCTATTTCCTAAGCAAACAGTTTTGTATTATAAGATTCTATATGTCTTGATTGACAAAATAATAAAGAAAAATAAAAAAAAAACAAAAAAATGACATTTTGGGCTAAAGTTTGACAATAGGGAATATTTTTTTTTATTTTAATATTATATATCTTGATGTTATTAATTTTATTTTGATATAATCAAGGTTTTCTTAAATATTTGCATCTGATGTTTGACAATAGGGATTTTTTTTAATGAAATCGATGATTTGTATTAATTTACAAGGTGATATTACAATCCTGATTGTTTTCTGTTAACCTTACCCTATATCCTATAGTTAACATTTATTAAAAATGAATTAACATTTCAAATTCTTTTACAAACGTTTTACTCGTACTTGATTTCTGTCATCATTCAGAAAATCTAAATTAATTACAAAATTACATTCGTAACAAAATAAAAAATAAATGTATTATTCGTATTTTTATAGACAAAGAATAAAATCTTATAATTCGGTCGACGTTTATATTTACTTACAAGAAAAGTAAATAAGCAAAATCTAAACAAGCCGAGTTGGAATGAAGGGCCTTATCCTTATCCAATATTTCATGATGCATTATAGAATCTTATTTCATATTTCTAACAATAAGAATTACATAATTCAAACATATAAGTGGGCTTTAAAATTTCTGAAATTTAAACCTTTCAAAATTTCTTTACGCCCGTCAACACAAGCAAAATGTTTTTTTGAATCATTCTAATCGGATACTACGTTCTCTCGGAATCTGCTATTCTTTGCACGTTTGTTCTGTCTACGAAACAACTGGACTTGCCTTTGCCAAAAACTAATCAGCACAATTCCTTTCAATACAAATTGAATATTATTGAATCATTCTAATCGGATGCTCTATTCTCTCGAAATCGTGGACGAAAACTATTCAAAACTAAAACATATATACATATCTTACAATGTATCTAAACATACATACATCCAAACATACTATACCCTACGGAAAGTTAATTGTAAAATGAATAAACAAATTTTATTGAAATATTTTTTTTAAATTAATTTGTATAAAATATTCACATCGAACAAAACACACAGTTACAACATTTTTTTATATAAAATTCTAATTAATTATATTACCAAAACAACCAAGATTATAACATTCATAATTGTTAGATAAAATAATGACAAATATAAATGAAGCTATTTGAAATTTAATTAACATGTTCATAAAATCAAAGCTTTTGTTTTATAAACAAATAAGTTCGATTAATTTATATTTTCAAACAAATGAATGAAATCAATCGGTCGATTTATAAATATATTTGTTGTAAAAATAATTTTATAATTAATCGAATAATTCTGCATTTTTAAAATATTTTCAAATAGTTTTTCAGAATAATCGTAGGAAGAGTGTATATGTGTCATACGAACAAACATATTTTAAAAATAATTAATAATTTTTTTAAAATAATAATAAAAAAAAGTTTGTAAAACGAAGTTATTAAGGATTTTCTTGGAACCAGTTTATCATAATTAAAAAATTGTAATAAAATTACGAATATTAAGGAAATTGATATGTGTCTGCATTTAATTTTTCTGAAATTTCTCGCTTTTTTTACTGAATTGTAGGAGTTTTGTCTGAATTTTCTCGAAAATTGTGAATCAAATGATATATAAATTGATATGTGTCTGATATAATTTTTTTTGAGAATTTTCTAATTTTCTCTGAATTTTAGCAGTTGGTTCACACATGCTTGCATATGTAAATTTGTCATTTGTGAAAAAAATCATAAATATTAATTATATATTAATTACACTTTATGGTAGTAATTAACCGTTCTTAAATTAGTTTAATATTATTAATTTATTCTGCAAAAATATCGTAAGTGAAGTTGAACGTTTGACTTTTGATAAAAGATATAAATATAAGATAACCGTTAAAAATTTTGTCATAAAATTCCAAGCAATCTAGTATATAAATCCTCATGTATCCGCCTAAAATTTAATGATTTTTTTATAAGCTTTATAAAAGTAAATATTTTTAGTAACAGTTTGCTAACAATTTTGCCAATCGTTTACTCAAGGTATTATTTAAAGAAGCAATGATAAATCTTATCATATAAATTGAGTGTTATCTATAATTTTCAAAGTGTTCAAATGAATTATAATTTGTCTCGTAGACGTTTGTTTGAGTTATGGCCTCGATAAAATACAAGACGTATACATCAATACGAATGTAAAATGTTTTTGTTTTATTCCGCGCCCATTTTCTCAGATTTTAGATAATGAATGTAATAAAATGAAAAAAAAAACTAGTGGTGCATGACATCGTACATGTAAATTGCATGACTCTTCGTCGATGTAAATTCAATGCTTTTTGAATCATTCAAATCGGTTGATTCATGCTCTCGAAATATTGGTCGAAAATTTGTATCCAAATATACATACATACATACATACTATACACAACAAACACACATGTATGCACGTCACATCATACATCCATTTTTTTCTAAGGTATCCCAAAATGTTAATTTTATTATTTCAATTTTTAAATTTTAGTTCCAAAATCTAATTACCAATTTCTCTTTTTGTTATTTCAAGTTACTGCTTGCATTATTATTATTTCCAACTAAGAAATTCCATACAACAATGATAATTTTGCCAATATTTTTTTCTATTTCTCACCTTTATGTACATCTGTCAGGCAATATATTTCAAATTTACCTTTCTTTGGCAGTTTTACATTGATATAAAAGAAGCAGATGTTACAAAAAAAATGGGTGTCACAATAGCAAACAGAAAATTCGTTATTGATACAATCATAATTAGAAATAATTACCAGAAATTAATCTTTGCTATTTGTGACTAATGATGTGATAGCCAGAATTTTATAAATACATTGAAAGGAAGTTATTTTTAGATGTAAACTGTTTAAATTCTAGCAAGTGCGGTATTACGAATCGCTTGTATTTGGGTTTTGTGATAACACATGACATCATATGCGTACTTCTAGGTATATAAATCATATATTATCATTAATTGTTTTATAACCTCGGTCCGCTCGATATCAAGCAGTATCATATCCGATTTTCTCTGGAGATTTTGGATCTCAAATATAATATCAAGTGAAAATTATCTTACGGGGGCATGGTAATAAAAGTAAAAAAATTTTGTTCAAAAATTGTTACAACAGCAACTAGTGGGTTGCCTTTTAAACAGCCATATACTAAAAATAACAAAACTAGTGGGGCGCATGGCATCGTGTCTTAAGGCAAATTGCTGGAACTTCCCGTACCAAAAATTATTATTTTTTAAAAAGATTAACATTTTTGAAAAAAAATTACTCTGAAAAAATTAGATTTTCGAGAAACTATAAATTTTTGACAAAAATTTACTTTTTTTGAAAAAGAAAAGACTTTTTGAAGAAAAATTTATTTTGAAATATTTTGGAAATTCTGAACTTTTTTTCAAAGCAATCGTAATGCTTTAACTGCATAGAGACGAAATATCGAAGCGCGTAAGCGCCGCGCCGCCGTCTAACGGATAAACATTGGTACGGAGACCATAGGAATGTAAACAAAATTTATACTTATTGTTAAAATCTCTATAAAATATCTGATAATTTGATGTGGATATGTCTAATGATCATTTTTGACCGCCAGATGGCATTTTTTTTACTTTTTTTACTAGATTTCCGAAACCGCTAGATCTGCCTTCATGAAAATTTGATCAGTAGTTCATCTTGTTAATACAAGTAAAATGTTTTTTGAATTATTCAAATCGGACGCTCCGTTCTCTTAAAAACTGAGTTACCGTTTTTGGCACTTTTTGCTCTATATCTTTGGAACGGTTAGACCTGCCTTTGTTAAAAACTAATCAGCTTGTCTCCTTATCAATACGAATCAATATATATCTTTACGTTTTAGAGGTTTCTGAACATTTTGGCATACCTCATTATTAGAAAAAATGGATGTATGTGTGTGTGTATGTGTATGTGTGTTAGCGGATAAAAATTTTCGTCGACGATTTCGCGAACATCACGGATCAACCGATTTGAATAATTCAATTCGATTCCTACTAAAGTTGCAAAGTTTTTTT